TCACTCTTTACAACCAAGGTATACAGAATACCATCTCTGAACGCGCAACATGTCGAACCTTGAAGCAGATGGGCTACAGCAGCAGAAGACCATGGCGGGTGCCACTCCTGTCAGCTAAGAACAGGAAACTGAGGCTAAAATTCACACAGGCTCACCAAAACTGGACAATAGAATAAACATGGCTGACTGTGACAAACTTATGTTTCATTGGCAGTTTATGCACAGTTCAACCCTCAGCAGTGCACTTGGTGTTAATTAAAAGGATGGCCATTTTCTTAAAAACAAGTGATAAATATATGTTAGGCCTACTTGTTAACTGTGTATCCTTCTACAGTACATCAGTTGGTAATCCTCCAAAGTCAGGAAAAGTTGTAGAATATATTTCCAAATGTTTTCACATTTCTGGGCATTTTTAACATTTTCCTGAATAACTTCTTGGTAGAGAGGATGACTTTCAGAGATTTGTAACTGTCTACCTAATAACATTGACACAAGTATTTCTACATCAATTTACATACAGAACAAGTTTCACTATTTGATACTAGTATGTATTCTTTTAATTTAAGACTTTTCTTGGCCTTTTAGTTTATGGTTTTCCATTTACAATGTGTGCTTCCACGGGAGCTGCCATTGTTGACTTCATTCGGCTGCTACTCCTGAAACACTTATCTAATGTGTTTATGTTCTCAATCACTAGTTTTATGTCTTCGTCAATACAACATGATGTTCATTTAGTAAATTATGGTCCCATTTATTTTAAAATAGACCATAAAGCAGAGTATGCTTCAGGGCGGGACTATCTGTTACCATGGCGACCTGTAAATCAGGCTAGAGTGACTCGTACCCACAGCACTGTGTAAATTTAACCAGTGCCGTTGAAAAAGCTTATTAGGAGTAGGCTGTTCATTCTCTCTGAGTACATTTTGTTTTAAGCCTGTTGTTCGCTAGACAAAATTATTATCCCGGTTAAAATGACAGTTAACGTGAATTACAGATGCACCTAGCTAAGCAAGCTAGCTAACGGCCAAACTCGAAGCTTCAAAATGGCAGTCCAGAAACCAATAGACAATGTCATGATGACTACTTGCACTTCTTATATACAGTCTATGGTCTAGCCCCAAGCTGGATCCAGGAGTGATAAGGGACAGTGATCGCAGTAATGGCAGCAGCAGCAGGACAAGGAGCAGTGGCATCAAGCTCCCAGGTTGTGATGTGTGCTGGACCGAAAGTGATTTGGTACAGCGTGGAGATTCTTCCTTCCAGCTCTGCAATCTTGACCAGACGGGCACAGCTGACACAGGTAAGTGGAGCCATGGACTGTAGAGGTGGTGGGTGGGGAACTGAAATAACAACGTTGGTTCAGGCCTAAAAGTGCAAAATAATTTAGAGATCAGTTATGGTAGCTGCTGGACACATGGAGGGCTCAGGCATTTACACACAGGGACTATAAAACCCTGAGCCCGCAGCATGATTTTAACAGCCCCTCCACATCGGCTGCAGTCTCAGGCATGTTTGGGTGGGTGTTGTCAGAATCTGTGTGTCATGTGTGATAGACATGCAATGCACATATGGGAAAAGGGAAAGAACCAACGAGGAAAGAGGGGTAATGAAGTAAAGCAAAAACTACAGAGTCGTGTAAGGTCTGGTTTTAATGTCGCAAGTAAGGGTAGGTCAGGTCTCAGTTTTAGGCCCACACAGAACTCATTTCCAAGACAGCTTTTCCAATTCAAATGTCAACTAATTAGGTCGTAGCGTTAGTTATATTAGTTTATATATATATATATATATATATATGTGATACAGGTGCTGGTCATATTAGAATATCATCAAAAAGTTTATTTATTTCAGTAATTCCATTCAAAAAGTGAAACTTGGATATTATATTCATTCATTACACACAGACTGATTTAAAATGTTTATTTCATTTAATTGTGATGATTAAAACTGACTACTAATGAAAATCCCAAATTCAGTATCTTCGAAAATGAGACTATTACTTAAGACCAATACAAAAAAGGATTTTTAGAAATGTTGGCCAACTGAAAAGTATGAACATGAAAAGTATGAGCATGTACAGCACTCAATACTTAGTTAAGGCTCCTTTTGCTTGAATTACTGCAGCAATGCGGCTCAGGTGTTATGAGAGCCCAGGTTGCTCTGATAGTGGCCTTCAGCTCTTCTGCATTGTTGGGTCTGGCGTATCGAATGCGACAGCTGAAACCCATGTCTTGCATACGTCTGTGCGTGGTGGTTCTTGAAGCACTGACTCCAGCTGCAGTCCACTCTTTGTGAATCTCCCCCACATTTTTGAATGGGTTTTGTTTCACAATCCTCTCCAGGGTGCGGTTATCTCTATTGCTTGTACACTTTTTTCTACCACATCTTTTCCTTCCCTTCGCCTCTCTATTAATGTGCTTGGACACAGAGCTCTGTGAACAGCCAGCCTCTTTAGCAATGACCTTTTGTGTCTTGCCCTCCTTGTGCAAGGTGTCAATGGTCGTCTTTTGGACAGCTGTCAAGTCAGCAGTCTTCCCCATGATTGTGTAGCCTACAGAACTAGACTGAGAGACCATTTAAAGGCCTTTGCAGGTGTTTTGAGTTAATTAACTGATTAGAGTGTGGCACCAGGTGACAATATTCAAATTTTCTGAGATACTGATTTTGGGGTTTTCATTAGCTGTCAGTTATAATCATCAAAATTAAAAGGAATGAACACCTGAAATATATCAGTCTGTGTGGAATAAATCTATACATTATACAAGTTTCACTTTTTGAATGGAATTACTGAAATAAATCAACTTTTGATGATATTCTAATTATATGATCAGCACCTGTATATAGGTTTATACTATATCGCATACACTGTACAAGCTTACCAGTTAGCCACTGTAGCTTAATAACAGCCCTACATTTCCTTAAGTAAACATGAACAGCACAGCCCAAAATGGTCAAAAGCACTCATTTATGTGATACTACATTTAATCATGGCTATTGACTTGTGAGATTTGATACAAGAAATGCAAGTCTTACCTTTAGTCTTGCCTTGCTTGGGAAATCGGAGAGTCATCAGGGGATTTTTAGAGTATGCTCAGAAATTAGTTTTCCCATTAAAGTGACCCTTTTCTTGTGGGGAGTTTACAGTCTCAGTTCAGAAGCTCTCGGGTCAAACCCTGCTCCATCCACAACAGCATATGGCAGTGATGTGCAAAAACAACCCTGCATCAAGGTGATGTCATGAAAAAGATCTAGGTAACATGCCAATATGACGTCCAAACTCACCAAACCCAAAGATCTTGTCACAGTTTGGTCTTGTCTGCTTTGTGTTTCTATTTCTCTGTCATGTTTGAAGTCTGTCTGTGTTATCAGTTATTTAGTCTGCTTTGTCTGTTCTGTGTTTTTGGTTTTAGTTTGTGTCTTGTCTTGTGTTCAGTCTATCTGTTTCCTGTTCTGTTTAGGTTAGTCTTGTCTGGTGTTAGTTCAAGCCCTGTGTCCTGTCTGCCTGAGAGAGAGAGAGAGTGATCATTGCTTAGGTGATTCAACAGTTCCCTCTCTCACACAACAGTGTGCGCACACAGCTATTCACTATCCCAGAAGTCTGTGATATTGCAAATGGGTGTAGCCCTACTCACACTAGGCAATCCGTTTCAATCGCCTGAAAAATGCCATCAAAGACTATTGCTCAAGGAGAGACCGCAATTCTGCCCATTATGGTAATATTAAAGTGTTATTATTTTATGCACTGCTTGTCGCCGGCACACAGTAGCAAGCACATTATCATTTGTAGCGTTGTACTAATTGGAGGATGCATCAAAAAGTTAATAATACTAAACAAATAAGCTGTGGTCAATACAGAGTAATAGGCTATAATACAACTGAGTTCATTTTCGCGGTCGCAGCCACAACCTGTTCATTCAAAACTGTGCACACCATAGTGGCTGATAGTGGAGTGCAGCCATCCTGTCAGTCATGCGATGTGCAGCGTAGTTCATTAGGAAAGTATGTTCATTTAAGTCTGTTTATCTTGTTTAATGTAAATAATAGTACATAGTAATTACAATGAAAAATACATTATTTGTGATTCAAAATAATGGTTGTTGATAAATTAATTAGAGAGCCCCACAGATGCATGATTTTACTGCTTCCATGGGAGCTCAGACCCTCCTTATGGGAGCTGAGCTCCCACTGGCTCCCACATAACTCGAACCCTGATGTAAGCCTTCTGTTTAGTCTAGCCTCTAGTTTAGCCTCTGCACTCAGCCAACCATGACAGATCTGAATGGTGAATGTGTCAAGCAACAAAATCCCATGATGGTACAAACTGCTTCTACAGCACTTGTTTATGTCATGCACCATTATAGATTATTGTACATCTATAGGGCCCAGGGATTTATTAGTCATACACATGGCTTTCTGGTATTTAACCTACCAATTGTTCTGTAAATACAGTGTGTGAGAGAATACGCAATACAGATGGAGGCCTCTTGTGGATAGTGTGCAGGCCCTCTTAGTCACACAGTATGCCTCCGACATTTAATGACATTAAGAAGGGTCATTCAGTTGTTATTAAACTGGGACAAGAGGCTTTTCACTCAAAGTAAATGGCACCAGATGGAAAATTTGCTTTGAAATAAACAAATCAGACAATGGACAATAAAAATATATGCTGCAAGCATTTGTATGCTAAACTGTGTGTGAGGTTAACACATAGTGGAAGTGAGTAGCAGCAAATGAAGACTACTGTATACTAAATGGTTTAAATGATATTAGTCATTTAAAATTCTTGCAATGCAGTACAGAAAGGCTTATACAATAAAAATAGTTATAAGACAACATTAAAGGAAGACCTCAAAGCTAGGCCCACTTAAGGTTAAAGGAAGATGGAAACAACTGTATTTGTAGTTATTCCTCAGCTGGAGAGAACTGGATTTAATTACTGAATGAATAGGTTTATCGAAGCTGAATTCTGTCTGTAAATGACTAAAGATTTTGACAGACACACATAACAGACAGACGGTTTTATTGATGGTGATGATAATTTCATTGTGTAGAAAAGACAAACTCATACTTGCTCTCATCATGCTGGAGAAGCTGTTAGCCATCCAACGTCTAAGACTGTTTCTAGGGTTTATTCAAGAACACATCATTCCAAGTGTAACCAGACACTATATGAAGTTATACTAAATCAGAAATATTAGCATAACCATGCTACAGTTGTATGACATGCTCTAAAATTTAGGATAACTATTTTGTTCATTTTAAACAAGAACATTTCACTGCCATTTTATGTAAAATGTTTACTTTGATGCAGGTTTTGATGATGTCATCCTACATTATCAATGTAGGGCCCCATGGGGCTGTGTGGCCACTCCACTCACTTTTTCAAAGAAGGACAATCAAAATATACAGGGTGGGACACAAGCTCAACAAACTCTTGCTTTAACCCCTTGTCACTTTCCAATGTGTCAGGGAAAATGCACCCTCACATGCTGACACGCTTAAGTGTTTCACGCGTCTTTTAGACCGTCTCAGTCCTGTTGTTTAGAATTATTAGTTTTCACACTAGCGTAGGTGAACCAAGCCTAATGGGCAAATGCACCAGAGTCCGAACTGAACAGAACAGATTAAGTGTGAAAAAACCTTTTAGCCGGAACAACCGGGTAAAAAATCCTAAATTATTGGCTTTTACTTCCTTTGATACATTTAGGTTCGCCTTAACTTTCCACAAATTACAAATGAATCAAGGGGTGTCAACATGAAAGTCATACAGACTGACAGGTTACTGATAGCATGTCAACCCAGAAGAAACATATTAAGTATGAAAAAACCATCCGCATTCACCTACACTCGAAATGTAAAAGCTGAGGAGCATAGTATCAGATTGGTGTGGACATATCCCTTCATCCTCAGTGGAAAGCACACCATTTACTGCATGCTAAGGTTTATTTCCTGACTTAGTGACACTAAGGTCTTCTTCAAGGAGACCAAGTAGGAACACTGCCACCACTGCCTTTAGTCTTTTTCGACATGAAGCAATTAAATGCAGACAGAAGAGGGGAAACATTCAATATTCTTACCTAGCAGAGAGCAGAATGAATTAATTAAGCTCTAGTTTCTGGCAGCTGATTAGTATTCCATTGTACTGCTGTGTCACCTTGCATGTATTCATAAGGCATCATAACTCCTTGAGACCATGCTCTATTTTTCATGGTGGGTTATGTAATGCTAGTGGCACTATGTGTTCTGTTCAGCTAGGTTAGGTACAGAGTAAGTGCAGATGACAGTCCATCATGAATCACTTTCTAAAATCCCACAAGTGGAATAAAACCTGCATATACTTCAGCTTCTAATGTTTGCTTATTTCTTTAGGTTAGAACACCACTGTAGGGAACAATTAAATTCATGTTGCATGCTTTGCAATATGTTAAGGTCCAAGATTAGACAGGTTAACTTCATTTGAAGCAGTCTGCGGGAAAAAGTCACCTTCCATTGCAAAGTTGATTCCTTCTGATTTTTGAATGCTGTACTAACCGTAACGCTCAAAAAGACAACAGTACATCACCCCTGTGCAAGCTCAAAAGACTTCAAGGGAATTGGTGGTGTGTGATTGTAGCATGGTTGTAGGGCCAAATACTCAACACTAAACAAAAAGTTTAGATATTTTGTTACTTAATGTGTTTGACATAAAATAAACCTACATTTGATTCTACACGCGACAGATCATTTAACATAAAAGTCACTTTATTCATCAATCAGTGCCTATGAACCTATGTTATTGACTGAGCCTATTGTAAAGCTTAGACTTTGGTGTTTTCAGCGGTATTCGCCATAGCTAAAGGCATTTCCTGCAGTCGGCTAGGTTAAAAACAAGGCTTACCTGATCTGTTGCACATTTTGTTGTTTGTCGTGACTCAAAAACAGACATCCATAGAAAAGTCTAGTCTCATCTTGAACCAGAGCATCTGCAGATTAATTCCCTTTCTGATATGTTAAGATCCACTTATAGATAGGATAGGAGATGAATAAATCCCCGTTTTTGTTATCTTAGCTGCCATCTTGACTGTAAGGGAGCCCGGAGGGACAATTGAGTAAGATTCAACTCTTCCGATCTCCACACTCACAGCAAACGGATGATGGCTTTTTCGGTGAATCCACAAGAGTTTAGGGCTGTCCCACTGTCAGTGCATGAGGACTCTCTCGCAGACTTTCTGAGCTCTTTGTGCTCTGGTGCTCTTTTCCTTAAGTCCGCATCTTTGCCTGAGGGAATTATCCACAATACATAACATTGTGATGTAAAACACAGGGTTACCACGGGAGGCCTGGAGGCAATAAAAAAAGGGAAAAAAACATGGAAGGAACTACAAGAACAAAGCAGTTTACTTGTAAGTTTATAATGCTGTTTATATGAAAATGACCTCTCCTCCACTCTGTAAGGCAGTGGCCTGGAATCTGTTCAAATCAGGCAGTCAGTCCCTTAAGTGCCTTGGCCGTGAAGAAAGTAAAAAAAACGTGGAATAAAATAGTCATACCCACAATTTTACATAACCTTTTTTGTTGTCGTCAAGGTGATGTGACGCAAAGTGCTGTCCCATTATAACATATCAGGCCCTTGCAGCCTCTCGCACTCAAGCACTTACCAGGTGACGTCAACTTTAGTGAGGGTTCAGGCTTTTGGGTGGAGATTGGATTTGGGCCTTTGTTTGGGAGGGCAGAGGGAGGTAGAAAGAGGTTTTATTTTGTGCGGTGTGTCACGACAAACTGTTCTAAAATAAATAAAAAATTGTTGTGTTTCTTGTTTTTGCCATTGTTTCATGTGTCTCTCTATTTGTTTCTCTCTATTTGTTTCTCTCATTCCTTGTCCTTAGTTATTTATGGCTTGTCCATCCTTGAGTACTGTCGCATGATTTACTTCCTGTTTTATTTTGTTATCGTCAGTTTCTGGTGTTCTCGTCTAGCTTTGTTCTTTTTCTTTTAGTTATTTTAGTCTTGTTCATTCGAAATTTAGGTTATGATTTTAATAAACTTATGAGGATTAATACAAATTATGAATTTTAGAATATTAATTCATAAAGCTCTCGTTTCGCGGGGAACCCCCGGCGAGTCTCCGGACCTCTGGGTAGTATCACTAGTGATCAGTTAGTTAATAATCGCTCAATTATCTTAAATAAATCAGTCAGTCTCATATCGAAGGGTAAATTCTCATGACAGGGACTTGGAGTTAAGCAATATAAATACACAATTCCTGTGATTACGGTGAAATTTATTAACTAAGGTGAATATAAATGCGGTTAAATACACATCAAAGAAATAAGCAATGGCTAAACAATGAGAACGTGGGGTTCTATTGTGGGGAGAATTTGACTTATACAGGCAGCTAATGAATGCAAGTTTTGAGTTAAGAGTTAAAGATAATCTATTAAACTATTGGACATCACTGATCACAGAATGCCTTGGTTTGGTCTTACTGCCTGTCGTTTCTCCCAGCCAAGTTGCTGGTCGGCAGCCTCACGCTGGCAGAGTTCCGTGCGTTCTCGATTAGCATAGCTTAAAGCCGTCGCTTTCTCTGCAAGGGAATTGCTCCGGAGGTCCGTCTTGGTCAGCTTATTGAAGAAACTTGCAGTGGGGGCCTTTTCAACCCTGGCTTGGGTTAGAAGTTTGGTCGCCCTTTGTTTCTGCTGGCGGGCCCACGTGGATCGGTCCAACTTCCGTGGGATCAGTGTAAGTTAGCTTGACGAAGAAAGCTTAAAAAGAACTTGGTTTCTTGAATTAAACTAGTTTAACTTAACGGTCTGATAACTTTTAACAAACAAAAGAAAAGAAAAAAAAAAAACAAGTAAGTTGCTGGAAACGAGGGAAAAACTAGGTGCTTCACGGTGCTTCACATGTGTGGCTTGAAACGAACAAAGAGCCTTCGCTGCGCCAGGTCGAACTACTTAGGGCGTTGCCGGGAGAGGGAGCCCGCTGGGCGCGTGCCGAAGCACAGGTGAAGAGGGCAAGAGTAAAACTGACAAATAAGTAAATATTGTTGAAATATTTGATTTGACAGTCGGTTGTTGACTAAAAACATGTTGATACAACTATCCGTATAAACTATATGGCACTGAATAATAATGCAAATGCACAAATGTCAGCGAAAGCTGTGGCAACAACACCTACACCACTGTGGCTCACCATTGATTACTTCTCTTAGAGTAAGGTTCTTGAAGGCTGCTTTGCCATTGGCTCCTTTCCAATTCATCTGTCTGGCAACTTCATTGGTCAAGAGGTATCCCATCATTCTCCAAACCGTGTCCTTAACAGCTGTACCTCTTGTGCCACAGTAATCGTGTGTTAGACAAGGGGAAAGACAGCAAGCATTAAGTGTCACATGTAGCTAATTTGACTTAGATGACAGAGGAGATAGAAATTAAGTTCAAGTAGAATCTAAACTCTGTCAGAGACAAAATGTTCCATCTGGCTTGGAAGCATCCAAGCCAAACATCTGACCACATTTTAGTGCATTAAAAAAAAACATTGATTCTTGACATCGTGTCATAGTCATTTTAGTCTGAGCCACTTGGTTGCCTATTTTGTTTGTCAGACCTGTAAACTCCTCAGAGTAAAAAAATGGTTCTGAAATGCTCTCTGTGGGAAATGCAACCTGAAGTTGATGGAAGGAACGGGATCACATAGAGCTGTGAAGAAGGTAGTAGAAGCACAAAAATGACAAATTAATAACGAGTCAATAACGCGGGGCAGGCTGCACGCTCCGCTGCTGAAACGCTTCTGACTCGCTTCCAGTGGACTTTGACGCCGGGCTGTGGACGCATCAAAACCGTGATGCAGCCATAAGGTGCCGTGGATTGCCCTGGACTCTCGCATCAGCTGTTGTGTAAACACTCATATTTAACTTACCTACATCACGAATGACTGCCTAACGCATGAGTGCGCACGACAACCTTATATTCAGGGTAGCTCAGAATTCGAGTAGTAGCCGTAACGTTATGTCTCGGAACTCAGGGCAGAGCACCCGGCTAACGATAAGCCTAGCTAACGTTACAGGGATATTCCACCATTTGGGGAATTAAGCTCATTTTCCACCTCCCCTCGAGTAAAACAATTGTTTTTTTACCGTTTTGGAAACCATTCAGCCGATCTCCAGGTCTGGTGGTACCACTTTTAGCATAGCTTAATGTAATTATAACGTAATAGGTATGATGACAATACAATATTATTGTAAATTATATCACATAAAAAAGAGGTAGCTAACGTTAATTGAATCAAGCAAACAAATGGCTGTTGTTGCTCCAAAATGCTTGACTTGCCTCGAATTTCACATAATAATCCATCACGTTATGTTTCCATCAGACTCGCATGGTAGCCAGGTGTCTCATCCAATGGCGAGCTCAGTTGACGCTCTGTGCTTCAAGATTCTGACGCAAGTGCTAAGATTCTGATTGGCCCAGAGAAATGTCAACTATAAGAATTATCCAGTAATGTTTTGATTCCAATTCTAGCCATGCAGATGAAGGGCATCACAGCTAAAACAGTGATCAGAAGATACAGTCTCTATTTAGTTTATTTATTTATGTGCATTAAAAAAAAGCCTGCCAATTTCATTTTACTTATTGTGGCATGACAATTGTCAGTCATTTTGTGGTTTAGGGATGCATAATGGGTATAGAGAATCTGTTTTGGAAAAATACAACTCCTAAGTGTTGTGGTGGCAGCCCGGCTGACAGTGAGTGTCCTGTTTCTTTTTCTCAGTTATTCTGCTTTTTTCTTGGTTTTCTGTTCTCTTCCCTGTGTTTTCTCCCATGTGTGCTCTCTCTCCCTCTGCTCCTGAGCCCAGCCAACGACCTGCACCTGCACCTCCATCAGCCACCTCGTCAGCCTGCCACACCTGCCAGTAGTCAACCTCATCCCTGCCTGTATTTCAACCCCTGTTCTCCACACCACTCCTGCTTGATCGTCGTTGCTCCATACCCGGTGCCACTTCAACATTCAGGCTCTCATGTTACTTGTTTTTTTTTTTCTCACATTTACCCCGTGCTTTGTCTCTGTCATCTCTACCCCTGTCTCTCTGTCTGTTTCCTCCGTTCAGTCGGCTGGGCTCATCCACCGGCCCTCTCCTCCTCAGACTTCCCCCACGGCGTCCTCCCTGTTCTCCCACCGCTCCTCGCTTCCTCGGCCCCAGTGTTCCCCGGCTCCCTGGCCCCCAGTCTCCTTGGTTCCCCGTGCCTGTGTTTCCCCGACATCCACCTCTCCCTCCAGTCCCTCTCCCCCTTTGTCCCTCAATAAACCTCCTTCTTACAATGAGATGAAATGAAATGCAATGAAAATATGAATAAACGCAAATTTCAGTTTTAAGAACAAATTTGTCTTTGAGATTTATCCATGCAAGTCTAATTCATTTTGAACCAAATTGATAAATGTTAAGTTACTTACATTGAGATAATTATTTGTGTATTAGTCTCATAGATTTTTACAAAGGGTATTTTAGAAATCTCTCTATCATTCCAAAAATCAGAAAATAACTTGTTTACAGCCATAAAAAAACTTTACCATGTTTTTTGGAAAATATCTAACAAATCAGGCTATGAATTTGTTAGGCCTGATTTTTTTTTTTTTTAGGCTATCAATAGTAATAGGCTATGAATAGCAATGTATGAATGTAAAAAAACATTCAGATTACTATAAAACTGGTGAAAATCTAAGATATGCCTCTCTTCAAACATTTATTAGATTGTTTGTTATTATTATTAATCCAGAATTTATGCCTGTTTCCAGTGCATTAAAAAAATCAACTTTTAAATAAATCAGCATGTCGGTGGTCTTCAACATACTTGCAACTTCAGTGCCCTAAAATGGCGTCTGGCGCTAATTTTAGCTAGCTAACATTACCTAGCTTACATAACTTTAGCTAGCTAACGTTAGCTCATTTAATAGAGCCAGCTAATATACCTAAACGTCATTTCAGTCATGCTTCTAATGTCTACTAGCAAACACTCTCATTACAATTTGTATTGTAATGTTAAATGTTTTTTAAAAGTATAATGATTACTTACCCGCAAGCCCAAAGACAGCAGAGGCGGCCACTGGACTTTTTAACCACGAAGCAGGGGGCGCGCGCGAGTACACGCGCAAGTGCGCATGCACGTACTGTTGCAGCGTCATGCCAGCTGTAACCGGGACCTTCTCTGTTTTATATTTCACATTCATTTATTTTTTGTTTCAGTGACAAACACGTTTTATTTATCTATCTATAAATAACATTTGTCATGTTCTATCTAGTGCCAAATAATTTCACACATGATAAATAATAAAAACTTAGCTAATTTGAAAGGTAAAAACTTTTGTTGTAAGAAAAATCCAACCACACATACACAGGGTGCGAATATATATATATACCTGTTTTTACCAATGAGATGTTTTTTATATATATATTTGTTAGATATGTTATATATGTCAATTAACAAAATCTGCTAATAAACACTCGGCCACCTCTGGCCTACACTCTTAGGTAAGAAGCTCAAGTCTGGTGGTAGGGCTGTGGAGGCTTTTGTTTTTGTGATAAGACGGATCTTTTAGTAGCCTATCCCTTTTTCTGTTAAGAACTTGGCATGGGGATTTTGCTATTTTAAGCTGTAACCCAAGTCAGCTTGTGGCATTTGGCCCATGTCTGGCCCACACAGGACTTGCCATAACACAAGTTGGGCCCAGCTCATGACATTCGGCCCAAGTCTGGCCCAGACAACACTTGCCGTAACCCATTTCAAGCACAGCTCATGACATTTGGGCCACCTTTGGCCCACACAATATTTGCCATAACACAAGCTAGGTCCAGCTCATGTAATTTGGGCCACATTTGGCCCACACAACACTTGCTAGTGCTTGGCAATTGTTGATAGCAGCAGTAAAGAGGAGTTGCAGTACAGATACTGTAGCCATATATCCACAGCATCATAGACTCAACCACAACTGCAATAACCAGATCCGCAGCCACGGCTTCAGCCAGCACAGCTAGTGGCTGAGACTATCAGAGCTCAGAATTTTGAAAGATATAATGAACAATAAATTTTTCATGTAAAGTGTCACATCATCTCTCCTTTCTGTAGTATCTGCAGAGCTAGTCTCTGAACTGGCAGTGTATTATAACTAGACTGGACCAAGATCAGCTGTTCCTGTCGATCAGGTGGAATGCAAAAATCCATCTTCATCCGCTTATCTGGGGTCGGGTCGCAGGGGAAGCAGCTCCAGCAGGGGACCCCAAACTTCTCTTTCCCGAGCCACATTAACCATCTCTGACTGGGGGATCCCGAGGCGTTCCCAGGCCAATGTGGCAATATAATCTCTCCACCTAGTCCTGGGTCTTCCCTGAGGCCTCCTCCCAATTTACCTTACGGCTCAGCTCTCTTTTCGTCACAACGGTGCGGTAAAGCGAGTGCAATACCGCCCCCGCTGTTCCGATTCTTCGGCCAATCTCCTGCTCCAGTCTCCCCTCACTCGTGAACAAGACCCGGAGGTACTTGAAGTCCTTCACTTGGGGTAAGGACTCATTCCCTAATCAATCAATTACTGCCGAGTATTTGGACACAGCTCTCGCTTTGGATGTACAGGGATTGGATAGCCCTGAGAAGGGCCCCCCTCACCCCATACTCCCGCACCTCCCACAGTATCTCCCGGGGGACCCGGTCATACGCCTTCTCCAGATATACAAAGCACATGTAGACTGGATGGGCATACTCCCAAGCCCACTCCAGGATCCTTGTGAGAGTAAAGAGCTGGTCAGTGGTTCCACGACCGGGACGAATACCGCATTGTTCCTCTTCGATCTGAGGTTCGACTATCGGCTGAACCCTCTGTTCCAGCACATTGGAGTAGACTTTACCGGGGAGGCTAAGAAGTGTGATACCCCTGTAATTGGCACACACTCTCTGGTCCCCCTTTTTGAACAGGGGAATCACTCTTCATCACTCGCAACTTTTATTTTAACAACAAATCTTTAAATCTCAATCCTCAAAATCCCCTCAGCCAACTGCCCAGTACACTTAACTCATCACCACTGACTGCCTTTTTCAGTTACAAGCTCTAAGCCTCATATTTCACTCAGAAGATCACCACAGGCTGCATCAGCATTGCATCTCACTAACCTTTACCGAGCTGCAGAACATCTTGACAACATTTGACCATAACCATTTACACTTGCCCTTGAAGCCTATCCATTAGTTAAGCATACTTATGTTAGCACCTTGGGCTGTAGGGAATACTTTATAGCAAAGGGATAAAAAGGTAAAAGATGTAGATCTCATCCAAAGTACAGCTGCAACATTTCACACACAGCTTTACAGAAACACCACATTCGCAGGTTTTGGAAAGTGGTGAGGTTTTAGCTCAGACACTGTGGAACAAGACTACTGTCTGTCACCTCCAACACTCTCTGTGACCACTGCTGTCAATGTCAATATTGCTGATCGCACAATACGCGTGTCTTGAGCCTATATTTATGGTTATTCAGATATTTGCAGTCATAACATTTCCACTTGATCCATTTATTAATGTAGCGCTGCTGCACTTACTGTTCACCTTGCAAGAAGAGAGGCGCAGAGCTGATGGCTCATTGAGAGGGGATGAGCACCCTTCTATAGTGGGCCCACTAGGGGTTTACATAAAACATAAAAGCAATATAGGTAAATACAAAGAA